AGCAAGTTAATTCAGTGATCAAGATTTTAATCTTGAGATTAAAAAGTCTAGAAAGTCAAGCGAGCAAAATCGCCTAGCTGAAAAGTCTATATGGCTCTTCAGGGCTATGGAATAACTTCTAATGGGAATCCCCGGTATAGCACTGCCCTCACAAGGATTTTTAAAGGTGTTATCTTGAGTTTGACCTCAGTTACACATGGATACTACAGCTGGAGCAATCCCAGTGGAGATGACGAAGTTATACCAGCTCCACTTCATGCAGAAACAATACGTGGTCCAGAAAAGCTTTTTTGAAAGAGTACAACGGGCTCTGAGTCACCCGCACTGATTCACCTTCTTGGCAGACTATATTAATCAGTTCTTAGTGGTGCTGGCACTATTTTAAAGTGGCCGTGGTTTTACTTTACAGCTTAGGTCATTTTTTGTGTTCCTTCACAAAGAGTTTACCCCTTTACTGACTACTTGTTAGAATAGGAGCAAATCTATGAAAATGGCACACAAACACAGCTACTCTGATTCTTGCATTAACTACTAGTCTTTAGTCCTGAAAGCATTGTGCTTTGAGATGGAATTAAAGAGAGAGGATTTAGAAGATGAGGTTTTGAACTAAGATTAAATAACCCCATGTAAGAAAGTCAAGGTACTTGCAATTACCTTGCAAAGGAAGGGTCAGATAAAACAAATTCCTCTTCCAGCTTTACTTTACTGAAGTGGGTTAAAATACCTATAGAGCATGGGAAATATATGCCACCCAAAAACTACAAAAGTAGAATTTCAAATTTTAGACCTTGGCCCCCTTGCTTTAATTTTAAGAACATAAAGAAAGGATTTATGAGTGTTGATATAGTGCGAGAGTGGAGGAGAAGAGGCAGCAGAAATGGTCTCAAGCACTTGTGAAAGTGCATTCCAGTTACAACTATTTCGGTACTGCTTTTTCTGGTACTACCTGCATTTTGCCAGCCTGGGCTTCTCCACATGAAAAGTTGGTCAAAGCATCTCTCTAAAATACCATTAATAGTATATTCACTTCTGCACTACACATTTAAATAATAGCATTAAAATATATCCCAGTCTGGATATTCAAGGCTAGAAAATAGTTCACAGAGTTAGCAGACAGTTTTAAAGAGGCTCTGCTCCTTACCTTGTCAAATGGAGGGAGAGGTAAATGGGGAAAAATAAGGTGAAATGGTGAGCCAACTTCAAGGCTTTGTGTTCAGATATAGGTCAAATTATGACACGCCAGGTAAAAAATGAGAAGATTCAATGGCATAGTGAAATTTGCCCTTTTGAGGACCAAAACTAAAGAATGCGTCAATAGAAGGCAAAAAGACTGTAAGCCATTCTTCTCATGTGGTTGGGTGATTCATCAGTGCAGAGCCAACACAGCTCAGACACCTTTCCCTGATTGGGAAATTTTAATGAGCCACCAAGGATGAGAAAGCCATTGAAAATTCTCTCTGCAGTTCTGCAAATCAGTTCAAGCCACAATTGCCAGGGCTTGTTGTTTTACCCTCCATGTTGGAGTTAATTGGTGGTCCCCTGCTTTTTTTTTTTTTTAATTTGTAGAAAAAAAAATAAAATGTCTAAATCTATCACCTTTTAGCTCAGCAGGAATTGTGTACAGAAAGGTCATTAAAAGGCAGTGAATAGAAGTAACCACATAACTTGAACTATAAGAGTCAGAAAAGAAACCTCTAAAAACCAGGTTAGTTTTGCAATGCTCACTCCTTATGCATTCGGAGAGCACAAAGGTCAACTGAGCTTTTATTGCCTCTAAAGATGCAGCTAAAAAGGGAAGGAAACTGTAATGAAATGACTGCATCTGTCAGCTGGTGGAAACCAACATAATCCCACTACAAGATGCAGTTTAAATTAGATAACAAATACAAGGCTGGTAAAGATGTGTACTGAGAAGTCAATGTTTCATTCAGTGTACAGACAAGGCTGAACATTCAAATGCTGACCTGAAGCATATCCACCAGGATCCTCAGTAAAAGGCACTGCCATTCCCAAGGCCCTTAATTTTCTGCCTGCTTATGAAGAAGATGCACTGGCTGGTGCTGACGGGGCATGGTGCAGTGCCAGGGAGGGGACACCTGTGCCCTGAGGAATCTTCTTCACACTGGTGATGGTGCTGTGCACTCTGACCAGCCAAACACATCTGAAATAACCAGCACTCCTGAAATGGTTTCTGTGTCCCAGATCAGTTCATCCAGCACTTTTATACCCAGTGGTATTGCTGTATGTCATGCTGCACACCAACGCTGTGCCCACACCAGAGCTTTAATTTGAATCAGGAGAGCGCTTTTGTCCCACATGTCCGTCCTGTGCCATGCTTCAGCAGAGCCACCTCTGATGGCCTGGGTGGGCTTGCTTCCAGGTGCAACTACACTAGGAAATGTTCTACAATAACTAATGGGAACTCAGCCCAAGAGACCAGCACAGAGCCAGCCTGGTGACCAGTTCCCCTGTACAGAGCCCTTCCTGCTGTGCTGCACCACCTCCCAGATGAGCCTAATACCTTCCCTTGATGTACACGGGTCTAGCAACCTCCACATCGCCCAGGGAATGCATATCCTCAATGTATAACCCAGATTTGAGCTTACTGCCTCTTTTTCCTCATGGCTAAAACAGCAGAAATGTTTCTTAGCTAGGCAGCCGGCTATAGGGACTGATTAGGGTAAAGTTCCTCTGAGAAATTTATTTTTAAACTGATGTAGGCCAGCTTTTTAGCTATAAAGATGGTGGAAGGTATGATCCCAAGTGCTTCTGCTGACCCAGTTTTACAGGAACAGGCACCACTCTTTTACAAAAACGGGACAGCAAAAAAGAAGTTTAAACCCCTCGATCCTGGTTTACTCTCTATCTCCAGTTCATTTTGGAACAAATCTGGATGGCAGCAGTAGCTGGCTCAGAGCAGCCTCTAGGGGAGCTAGAAGATTGTATCCAGGGGGTTTTCAAAGAAGCAAGCTAGCCAAATTTTCTATACTGTATGTACCACACCAGTCTTTGTTAGTATTATGTTTAAAGAAAATTTCTTGGTCATGTTGGCCCCAGCATCCTGCTCAAAAGCTCAGATGATCTACTCCTTCTAGTCCACTTTTTAAAACTGGTTCCACTGCAACATCTTTAAAGAGAGGTACAAATTAATGTGCAAATCTCAGACAGATGTTTTCAGCCCAGACAAATTTAGATGACAAATTGCACATTCCCTGGAATGACATCACTAAGCACACAGGGTGCTGTAGCAGGGCAGCTGACAGGGAAGGCATGCCTGGCACACAACCATGGCTTCAGAGGGAATGGCTTCCTTAGAAAGGGGGCCCGACTGCACACAGAGCAGATAGGACCAATTAGGAGCTCACAGAGAAGGCAGGACCAAATAAAAAAGGTTGCCAGAAACCTGCAGAGGTTATGCCAGCACTACACAGGTCCATTGAACTAACTCTGTCCTCTCATAAAAATTCAGCTTCTGTCCCATAGATTCTGGTACACTGTCTCATTTGTAAATTTTGCTGTCATGGCTAAAACATCTACTCATCCTCAGACTTAGGGAGATGTTAGTACAACACGAATTTCTGTCCAGTGCTCAGAGGCCTATTCACTCCTTCACTTGTTCCTTCCTGGGGACGGTTGCTCACCTCTCTGCACTATGGCTCACAGCCCATATTGGAAATGGAAGGGAGATATGAGCTCTTTCATGGACATTTAGTTCTTTGAAGAGTTAGTTGCACATGGGAGACAAAAATGCAAACCTACAAAAAAGCAGCTGAACAGCACTATAAGCAAGATGCATTCAAGTACACTGAGACAGTCTAAGTAATTCACATAGTGATAAAGAAGATTTTTATAAGGAAAAAAAGTACTTAGGATAAAAGAAACAAACTAAAAAAGGAAATCTCCAGACAAAAAGCTTTTTCAAATTGATGAAATGATTTCAGTACGAGTACAAGTTCCTACTAAGTTCAAACCTAAATGCTTTCTCTGCAAGCACCACCAAGTACAGAAATCAAGAGACTTCTGCAAACAATATGCCCTGAAAGCAAAGCAGTCAGATAACACAAGATGAAAGTCAGCCTCCCACAAGTTTAGGGTGGACACACAATGCAGATTTATCAAATACAAAAGGAAACAAATCCTGCTGTCACAACCCCTGACTCTATCTCAGAAATGCTTTGCACACCATTTCCACATAGATGATTAATTCTAAACCCCTTGAACTCAGAGTCCATCACAAGCTGGATAAAGAAAACAAAAAGCATGGGACAAACCTCACTCTCAAGAAAAAACAACGTGGTGGAAATCTTTTGCTGGAACATCTGGAGTCATCAATGCTCCTGTTACACAGGGTGTAATGAGAGATCCTTGAACCAGCTCGGCTTGGAGCTGAGGTTTGATTAGGATGCGGCATGCTGGCAATTGCCTTTTACCAGCTGATGCACAGTAGTTTTGCTATCGGCAATGAGCTGCAACTACCCCTCCCTCCTTCCCAAGTACCATGAGGGCACAGTCACCACCAGGACCAGTCCTGTCCTGCCCAGCCAGCAGCCATGCATACCATGTATTTTCCAAACTCTTCCTGGATGCATAGAACGGTATCTCCTTTCTGCTGAGACAAAAGTAGTATTTTGTGCACCAATATCAGGCATAGGGCACTGCTCAACTGTCACTGGGGTTTTCTTTTCATAAATGGACCGTTATTTCACACCCATTGGGATAAAAGGAACAAAATGAAATCCTGAATTACAAAAATTACAGTTAAAAAAATTTTTCAGTAAAAAACAAAAGCTTTCGTTTAAAGCTTTCTGTGCCACTCTTCTTTTCCTTGCCTGCTCTGGGGTGCAGTTCCCCATCACCAATGCAGCCCCATTTGCCACCTTGACATTCGGTTGGCACTTTCCACAACCAGAGGATTCTCATGCCAATTTATCCATTTGTGTCCAGAAGATACTGGACCCTCTTAGTAGTGACTGTTAACCAAACCAATTGATCCAGCTTACCTTTGGACCATTTCCTGGCTTCAAGTGATAACCAAACACAAGTTCAAGATTCACTACTTTCTCTATGTTTTCTTCAGCTCCACCTGCAGAATCCTGCCAAAACAAAGGGTAAAGTGAGACTCCACATCTACCACAACCCACTGGGAGACAAGGGCACAGCCTTTGGTGGCATAAAGGATTTGCCTTTCAGATGCTACCAGACTGGCAGGCAACAGGAAGGAGACATATTCCAAGAGGGGCCATGGCTCCTGCATGGCTTTACAGCATGCAGTGGGTGGCATCTGGGAGATGCTGCACAATTTCTGCTCCTGGCCAAGCTGCTCTGGCACAGCATGGTGTCCCTGTGAGTATTGTGGCAGCCTCTGCCATTGGAATTGCAGCTGGCATGGCAGCAAAGCCCTGACTTTCATTTTCCCCTTCAGGGAACAGAATTTTGCTATATGCAAATTTACTGTAAGTGGATTTCACTCTATAGCTGTGCAATAAATTATGACTAAAAAGCTACTTCAGGCTTTAGGCTCTAGAACTGCTTGATTAGTTCACTGAACTAAATCAGGCAAATATTAGTTTTAGCAACCCCAAGGTTCTCAAACACTCTCTCCCTTTTGCATGGCTCTTGTTACCGATACCAGAAAACCAAGAGGTTAACATAAAGGTGACTAGACATTATAAACCATCCTTCTTTTCTATAACATTAACAAACTGAGGGATGATGCGCTCAGTCTGGGCCAGGGGTCTGCTGTTCTTCAGTGATGAGCAGTCAATGCCACCAGTTTGGAGGAATGGCTCTTAAAAGTAATTTCTGATTAATGATAGCAAAGGAATTGCAACCAGTAGCCTTTTAATTTAATTCCATTGGTTCCATGATAAAATCTTAGAGCCTCATTGAAAACAACTTTTATTATCTTATTACTTGTTCTGACCCATCACTGCTGTTGACCCTTTGCATTTATTACAACTCTCTGTAGGAACTGCTACTTTGCCCTCCCCTGAATACGAGAAAGTTGAGACATGAGAACAATAAAATATTCATACCAACACGAGAAGCACTTCTTATATAAACTATGCAACTTGCCTTAATTAACGGTGGAAAATGAAACAGATTCAGGTAGTCATGGGTTAACTTCTCAATAGCAGTCTAGGAAAAAAAAAATCAAAAAAACCAGATGGGAGTTATTTAGTACCTCATACTGCAAATACCAACATGAAAACCAGTGAAACTCCATGTGCGCTGTGTTTTCCACTGTGGATACATCAGGGCATGTGAGAAGAGTTTAAAATAGAGCCCTGTTCTGGAAACTGTCGTGGTAGATTGGCCCCATTTTGCATTCAGAATCAGATCTGCTTAATCAGAGAAAGAGATGTTCGGGGGGTTGTTTTCGTTGTTTTTATTTATGCTCAATCAACCCAGGAAGCTGAAATCATTCATTTTGGGCATTATTGACTTTATTAAGTTTCAATAATTTTCCCTGTAGGAAACATAAATTAAATATATCAGTAATGGTGTGTGGGCATGGAAAAAATGGCTGATGAGCAAAAGGGGAATAAATCTGTGCGACTTATGAAGCTGAATTTGCAGGACTAGCAATTAGGATCCAAGTATCTCTTTACTAGCAAATTGTGATCTAAAATGACTGAGACCCAAGAGAATTGTAGACGCTGCTCTTAGAGAAACCCTTTTCCAAAGCTGCCAGAAAACTGAACTCTCTCCTGTGGCTACAGTATTAATATCATTACTGCTGTCTGACCACATTTTCCAGACCATGATTTTCTTAATTCATTACAAACATTAGATATTTAAAACACTGTGAAACAGAGCTTTAAGAAGCTCTGAAAGAGCTTCTGAAAGAAACCTGGCTGTCAATCAGCTTTAAACAACAGCTCTGTCCAACAGAGTTTTGTTAGTCCAAATATGCTTTACACTATAAACGAGATATGAAAGTTAAGAAGTTCAGGATTTCAATTCAAATAGCTGGTTTTGTATCTGCTTCTCCCTCAGCTAAAGAGAACTATCTCTGAATAGACCCACGTTTTCTGCTGGGCCTTCCTAGGTGAATCTGTAGCAGAACTGCCAGTCTAGCTCACAAGAAAATCAAGAACAACAGAGGAGTATAAAGACCACAGCACATTTTCATGCCTCATATGATTCTCAGGTTGCTTTGGGTTCTACATTCATATGAACCTGTAACTGTTTATTTTAGATACCAAATATGTTCTCTATGTAGCTTTGTCACTTTTTTTGTTAATACTACTGAAAACTCATAGTCTACTTCTTAATATTCACACTATAACCTACTGCAACACTCAATATATGCTGATGATACCTTTAAATGGATGATGTGTCCTCTGGAAACAATTCCCATGTCCTTTAAATCCTCTTCTTCTAGAAGAAGCAATTGTTTCCCAGTGATATGATGTTCCTTAAACAAGCTAGCATAGACACTCATTTCACCAGAAGCATCGCCTTAAGATAGAAGAGGTTATTCAGAAATCCATAGGGCACTTCATTGGAGGGGGAAAAAAATGAACAAATGTATATATGTTCATATATGTGAATATGAAAGTACATATGAATAGCTTTTACCTTTTCTAGTAAGTTGTTGCATCCAGAAAAACTGCAAAGAAAGAGGAATCAATCTTGAAGTTCACATTACCAAAATTTTGTACTACAGTTATTTGGAGTCCACAAGTACATCCTTTTTTAAAACAAAATTTAAAAATATTTCTCACTTTGGGTTAAAGGACTCAAGATTCACCAGTGCAAGTGATGACTTCTATTCAGCTTTTCAAAACTGCCTTCCATTTTGCAGCCATCTTCCTCAGTTTATTGTCATGAAGAATAGAAATGAGCAAAGCAACAGCTGAGTGATGTCATGTGCTAAAAGGGCTGAAGTGAAGGAGCCAGGGCTATTACAGCTTTTGCACTGGTTTTCCAGGCATTCCTTCAGTAAACATCAGCTAAACAATCCCATGACGCACAACACACAAAGAGAGTGCTAGATAGGACATTAAAATCATTATGACACATCACTATGCCAGAGATAAATCAATAATGTGTCTTGTTTAGCCTTTTAATCAAATAAAAAGGTAAAAAAGACTCAATGCCATTATTTTATATGAAAGAGAAATTCCACATGCCTTAAAACCCCCTTCACTTTTTTTCAGTTAATTTCAGTCCAGGTGGCACATAGTGGGATAAAACCTTCGAAACTGTTCTGTCCTGTCCAGGGTCAGGTCTTCGGGCACTTCCACATCCCTTAAATGGTGACTCAGGAATGCCCTCCTGGCTGCTGACAGCTCCCAGCTCCCATTATTTTCTGGACGTTGGAGAATGTGGCTGTTTTATGACAGTAACTCAAGTCCTTAATTTACTTACAGTCATTTTAAACCCTTTCTAGGACACAAGTTTTACCAAACAAACAACAGTAAAATCTCACCTGGATGTTCCGATCCGGCCTTCCCTCCCTCCATATCCACTGTAATATGGTAAGAGAGCTCCAGCAGCACGATGCTGGCCACATTAACACAAAATACTCACCACATCATCTTCAGTCCATGCACAAATATCAAAGGAGGGCAGCAACTGTGTGAGAGATATGAATTGAAAAGAAAACCATCTGACCAATTTTATCCCCTCCACCCAAATTTTACTCTGGTGGCTGATTTTTTCACTGCAAAGTACAGGACTTAGGCTGCAACTCATATTGACATACTAAACCACTAGATTCACACTGATCGTGGGCTGGCTCCAACAGCATGTTGTCGGTGTTAAATCGATCCCATCACTCTATGCAGATAAAATTACCAGCAGATCCCCAACAGAAACGACTTAGGAAGCAAAAGTAAACTGTCCGATGGCAAGGGACTCTCTAGCTGCCTCTCCTCTTGGCTCTGACACTTGGGAAGGCTTTTGCTTTTTTGATTTCTGCAATGAAAATAATGCTGTGATTATGACTCCCTCCCAGATGATGGATATTTTCTACAGAAGGAAGGAAAACTGTCACCAAGGAAGGCCTAGCCCAAACTACCAAAACTGGACAGCAATGAAAGCAGAATTTGGAGTCTGGCCTCTACAGCTAGTCTTCCTGCCCATGTATAGACAAGTGTCTCTTGGTTTCTGCCAACACTTTGTAACTGCTCCCCTAAGGCCGAGGGAGTGCAGCAATTCCCAGACTCCTCCAACACTGGATGCAAAATGGTGTCAGCTCTTGAAGCACTAGTAAACCACGGAGGATACACAGGGGAACAGCTGCATTAAATGGAATTCTGGGATGATTTGAAAACTGGCAGAGGAGAAGATGTCACTGTAATAGTGACTGCCATTTTACTCATCCAAGCACATAGTATCCCAAGCTTCAGCTTCTTGGCATTTTTATCCAGCTTAAAGGGTTAACATTAATTGTTGTATATCTGTATTTTTCAGTGTCTTCTAAAAGCTCAAAACCATGATGTAGTTGCAATCTCTTTGATGTAGATACCAGTGATTTATGAGAGACTCATCTCTGTTACCACCAGCCCCCACGGCTTTGTTCCCTCCTCCAGAGAGCTCTGCCACCCCTGGGTTCCCCGGCCTCCACCCACAAGCCAAGCACGGCCCCTCAGCAGGCACTCACCCCTGCCCACCTCCAGCTGAATACTGAGCCCCAGGACAGAGTTGCTCCTTAGGTGCCTTCCTGGCACTTCCTTAGCACTTCCCTGGCTCTCCAGGCACGACACCAGGGTCTAGTGTAATCTGCTCACAACTTTCAGCCATCACTGTAAAATACCCTTCACAGCATCCACGTGAGACCCCCACTGAAGGACTTGTGATTGCTCTTGACTTCTGCCTCCATATCTATCGACGTTTTGCTGCCCACCCCACTTTGAGGACTTTTCAGATCATCTTCCTCTTCCTCCACCAATGCCTCACTCAAATCTTGCTGGGCACAAACAATTTATGAGACCAGCTGAAGTCAACTCTGCACAGAGGATCTAGCGAATCCTCAAACCCACCCCTTTGCCCACTGTTTCCCCAAAGGGGACAGAGCCAAAGGCATCAGGGTGAACTGGCAGATGGCAAGATGTACCTGCCAGACAAAAATGAGACCTTCCTGACTACTATACCACACTTGCAACCAACCTTCTCAACCTACCTGCTGTCAGGCATTCCTTATGCTGACAGCAACTTGCAGCCTGGTCAGGATGCTGAGGGGCAAAAGTAATGCTGGGGGAAACACCTAAGCACAAGGACGGGCAAGTGGCAATCATGAACACCCTCAGTGGGTTGTGCCTTTTGTAGGTACTTATAGTCAAACCAGCTGGTGCTGCAGGAGGAGCCTGGTATGATAACTTGTACAACCAAATTATTTAATGCAGAAGTCCAATATTACATTTTTAGTTGTACAGTGGATTTTTTCAGCTTTCCCCATGTTTAAATATAATCAGTGGCAGAATATGTTCTGTATTATTTCAAATTTTTTTTTAAAATAGAATAAAGGGGAAATGTCACACAGTGAGCAATACAAAAACGTGACTTAAACAAGTAGACAATAAGGAATGTTTTGAAACACCAGCATTTTACACAGTGACACAGATGCATAAAATTTACTGTCAAAATGTTTATTGCAAAATAGAAGATTGGAACAAAGAGCAGCAAAGGAAAAGTTCACATCAAAAGAAAGTTTATGACACCAATTGAGGAAATTTAATACATTCTTTTTGTTTGTTTGCTTTGGTTTTACACTGGAAAATCAAATCCACAGTGTGAATAAAACAAGAGATGGTATGTCAAGTGCAATAAAGAGAATAACTGACACTGCAAGGTTTTACCACACAAAAGTGTAACATTCCATGTTCCACACAAATGATATATTCAGTTTACAGCACAAGAGTCTTGGCATAGGCGCTGCGCTCAGCTTTGCTTTTTCAGAAGGGAAAATGAAATTTTCTAACACTGTGAAAATATTTTCTATTCAAATTCCATCAGTTCAAACTTGAAGTGTAAGTAGCATTGACTCCTACTATTCAGTACAAAACTTCTTCAGTAGTGCAAAAGCAAGAAATGCAGTGGACTATATCTGACTTTAAAAGGCATATGAATATTTAGCACACAATATAAAATGTTTAAAGAAAGTTGTTTGTTCTACAGTTTTAAAATTAAATCTTCACACATCAGAAATCTCTGTGCAGATTTTACAGTGTACACTAAGTCGAAGTCTGGAGGAAAGGGGAAAGGTCCCTCCTCCAGATTCCTACCAGTGCATTTTAAGGGCTGTGAAAATTACTATATGAACTTACTTTTTCTACCTGAACGTTCTACCTAGGACTGTAGTTAAAACCTTTGTCAAGTTAGAGGTCTTCTTAAAAACCTGTAAAAGCTGCCTGATTACAGAAAAGAACTACAGCACTAAAGACAGAGAGAAACACTGCTGCATACTTAACAGCTATATGGACACCATGGATTTATTGCTACTGCTGAGAGCAACACCAATCATTATCGTATCAGATATTTAAATCAGAATAGACACTCTAAAACCCAGAAGGAAAGGGAATCAACATCTAAGAAAACCTCTGGAACAATAAACAAATGACAAGTCAAGAACACGACTGTATGACAAGAGGCTGCGCCATATGTCACCTCCAGGAAGCCCTTCCCATCCAGAGGGGACAAGCTCCATGTCAGGCAGCACACACTTGGCTGGGGATGCAGTACACCTAAACACTGTATCTTAAGACACTTGCTACTCCGAGCAATTAATGGTGTCATCATCACAAAAATTACTAGATCAAAAGTTTTCCTCCATTAAGTCCCCTTTCCATTTCTTTCTCCACTGCTGAAGGAAAACAAAAGGAGTTGGGAGTTGGGCATCCTGTCTTGGTCCCAGTTGACCCCACATCTTTAAGTAAAAGTCAATTCTTCCCATTCTTCTCTTAGGCCATTTACCCACCTAACTCAATGCTGGCATTACAGCAGCCGGGTAAAAACAAGAAGAATCATATAACCTGGTGATGATACAGGTAGAAGGTGGACTGGAATACAGTGCAGATGAAAATCAGTGTGGAAGATGAAATATTCTGAGCTCCTCCAACACCATACCTGCCCACCAGAGCCACTTTCAAAGCCTTTATCTAGTGAAAAGCATTTCAGAGACAGAAACAACACAGCTTGATTCTCACATATGACTTTTGGTTTGTAAACTGAAGACATCTGGCATGAAAGTCATCACAGGAAAGTAAAAATGCAATCAATACCACTACTTTTTTTAGTGAGCACGGCCAATATCCTAAGTATAACCCTATGTTAGGGGAACTGCATCAGAAGAGTTTGTCATCTTATGTTATCATCTTATCTACAATTCAGAGACTACCTTTGCTATCTTGAAAGCATGGGGAAGTTTTATAAGGGTTTATTTTTTCCCTTAATATAGCTTAATTTGGTTTGACAAATACCATGGGGAAAGAAAGGCAAAGAGGGAAAAATCCGTCTTTGTTTTATTAGAAAATACTGAAACTAAGCACAGAGTAGAAATTTCTACAAGCACACTACCAAATTCTGATGATATTTTGTTGACATAAATTACACACCTGGGTAAGCACAAAACTCTGAAGAGAGACCTTGTGGTTTTGCAACTATGAAACCCTGTGTCATACTACTTAAGAACTATTTTTATTTCTGTAAAGATTAAAGAGCAGATTTACAAATTCAGTTAAAAGCCATACAATAGAAACGTGCATGAAGTGCTCTGACACTGTCAAACACCAAAAAAGTGCAAAATCTGCCAGGGACAGATTTTTTGTGCTTTTTTGAATCCTAAATTGTACTGAACCAAGTTTCATTTTCAGTTGTACAACCCTACACTGCTTATGTGGTACAGTAATTTATGCACAATGACACATCTTAAGATCTAAAGTGCACATATTACACTACACAAATCCATCAAATTTTGCTGAGTGCAAAGTGGCAGTTATAAAAATAGTAACATGCTGTGGGTGTTAGCAGACGTAGACTTACAAAAATAGTACAAATCTGCACTGCAAACAGCCTTTTTGCTCTTCTTTCCATTTCATACTTTGCCCTTTCATGTTCCTTTTTCTCCCTAAAATCAGGTTGCTTTGATGGACCTAAGAAGTCATCCCTACCTGTGCTGAAGGAGTAAGTTTCTCCCTGGGATACTCCACAAATTTATTGCATCATTTAAAGTACAATTTTGTTATGAAAAAACATTCTGGATACAAGAGGGCTAACTGCAAGTCAACGGATTTGTAACTGTTTGGAAGAACACTAAATTACATCCTACAGAAGTTAAGCATCGTGGAGGGTCTAATTCTGTGCAAACTGAGTTTGAAGTTTGAAGCACAGCACTTGCTGCCTTGCAGGTTACCGGACCAGTGTTGATGCTTAAGGATAAAACAATTCTCTCTGATGACCCAAAGAGATGCCCACTCTAGAAAAACTCCTTCAAAGAACTTTCTTCTCTGTCGAGTGAGCATGTAATGATTTGAGGCCTGCTGTTATCTAATGCATCCATTTTTCTCTAAGTTATCTACAAAACACTCACCATAATACGTAGGTTAGAGCTGTGTAACAGGCAAGCCTATAATTAA